AGACGGTTCAAAATGGGCTCTGTGCGGTCCAAAACGGCCCCGAGACGGTCCGAGATGGTTCCAATAGGGCCCAAAAAGCCCAAATGACGGCCCAAGAGGGCCCCAAGAGCGCCCACAACTGCGCCTCCAGAGGCAAAATCATTGATTTTCCTATGGTTTGGGCACTATTTTAACGTTCTCGCCTTTGCGGCTCAAGCAGCTTCGCAAATAGCTCCAGCACAACCCAAGAAGCCCCCAAGAGGGCCCCGAGACGGCCCAACATAACCCCAAGACGGCCCAAAGAGGCCCCCAAGACGGTCCAAGAGGCCCCTATGACGGCCCAAGGGGACCCCAAGACGGCCCCAAGGCGGCCGCGAGAGGCCCCAAGACGGTTTCCGAAGGAGCGAAACGGCGCAAAATCGCGCCAAAACCGCCAAAGACGCCCCCAAGAGGCCCCAAGAGGCCCCCAAGAGGCCCCAAAGGGGCCCCAAAAAGCCCCCAAGAGGCCCCGAAGATGTCTTCAAGAAGCCTCCCCAAGGCTCCAAAGAAGCTCCCCAAAGGCCACACAGCGACTGCCCCAAGACGGCCCGAGATGGCCCCAAGAAGGCCCCAAAAGCCCCCAAGACGGCCCAAGGGGGCCCCAAGAGCGCCTACAAGAGCGCCTCCAGAGGACAAAATCATTGATTTTCCTATTGTTTTAAACATGTTTTAGCGTTTTCGCCTTCTCCGCCTCTCAGAAGCCCAAGACGGCCCAAGCAGCCTCCAAGATGGCCCCAAAAAGGCTCAAGAAACACCCAAGGGGGCCCCGAAAATGCAACGTATCCAACGGATCCAATGGATCTAATGATTCAACATTGCTACATGTTGTTTTGTTTTACATTATGATGTCTCCCCCTCAAACCCCCTTTGGAGTCGCGCCACTACGCCGTACCAAAGTGACGGCCCCAATTATGGTGCTCTCTCTCTCTCTCTCTTTCTTTTTTTTTCTCTCTCTCTCTCTCTCTCTCTCTCTCTCTCCCTATATATATATATATATGTGTATATATATATATATATATAACAATTCGTTTTTTTGTCTCTTTGGGACTCCAAGAAGGTCTCCATATGGCCCGGGGTGGCTCCAAGACGGTCAACAACGCACTCAAGACGGCCCAAGATGGCCCAGGAAAGCCCAGAAAGCTCCCCAAGACGGCCCAGGAGGGCACCGAGAGCACCCCCAAGAACGCACACAGAGGCTAAAATCAACGATTTTCCGAAAGTGTTTGAAGGATTTGGGCGTTCTCGCCTTTTTCGATTGTCAGAGGCCCAAGACGGCCCAAACAGCTTCCAACATTTCCCTCAGACCGCCCCAGAAGCGCCCACGGGAGCCCAAAGACGGCTCCAGAGGGCCCCAAGACGGCCCAATGAACCCCCCAAAACAACCCAAGAAGCCCCAAGACGGCCAAAGAGGACCCCAAGAGAGCCCCAAGGCGGCCGTGAGAACCACCCAAGGCGGACTCCGATGGGGCGAAACGGGGAAAAAGCGCACCATCACGGCACAAGACACCCCCAAGAGGCTCCAGGAGGCACCCAAGAAGCCCCCAAGAAGCCCCCAAGAAGCCCCCAAGAGGCCTCCAAGAGTCTCCCAAGAGGCTCCCAAAAGGCCCCACAACGACTGCACTGAGCGGCCAGCTGACGGTCTGGACCAGGTGCAGCACGTGGCCCATCGCACGAACTCCACTGGGCGCAGCGCGCCTCCAAATGCAGGTCACGACTTGACTGTACGTACTCCGGACGTGCACCCCGCGAAGCGAAAGGAATCCGACCTCCTCCCCGTCCTCCTCCTTCCCCTCCGCCTCCTCCTGCCTCCCCGCCCCCTCCTCCCGCTCCCCCTCCTCCCCCCCCCTCCTCCTCCTCCTCCTCATTCATCCTCCCCCACCCCTCCATCCTCTCCCTCCCTTTCCCTCCCCCTCTCCTCCCTTCTCCTCCTCCTATCTCCTCCTACTCCCCCTCCCATCCTCCCCCACCTACTCCGCGATCATCTCTCATCCCCCGTCCTTATCCTTCTCCTCCTGCTCCTCCTTCCCCTTCCTTCCCCTCCCTTCCTTCCCCCCCCCCCCCCTCTCCCCTTCCGCATCCTCCGACTCGTCGTCGTAGAGCCGACTGGAGGCTCGAAGCCTGACGATTAACCAAGGGAACATGAAATCCTGCAGCGTTTCCCGCGAGACCAGTACATGGGGAAAAAGCACCAGCATGGGCCGTGGGATCTGTTTGTCGTGCACCTGTGACATGCATCTTGGGAGCCCTTCGGGGGCTTCTGGCGGCGTCTTGGGGGCCACCGGGGCGCATCTTGGAGTCTCCTAGGGGCTTGTTGGGGCCGAAGGCCCGAAAGGTCCGTTTGGATTCCCTGTCTGGGCCCCTTCTTAGAGCCGTCTTGGGGCTCTCTTGGACCGTCTTGGAGGCCTCTTGGGCTGCTTGGGTCCCCCTCGGGCTGTCTTGGGGCCGTCTTGTGAGCCTCTTGGGCCGTCTTCGGGCGATCTCGGGAGCTTCTTCGGCTATCTGGGCGCGTCGGGAAGCCGAAAAGGTGAGAACCACAAAAAATCCTCAAACACCCTGGAAAAACAACCATTTGTTGCCTCTTGTGGCCCTCTTGAAAAAAAGCCTCTTGGAGGCCTCTTGGGGCGTCTTGGAAGCCTCTTAGGCCGTTTAGGGACTATCTTGAGCATCTTGGACCGATCTTGTGGCGTCTCGGAGCCCTCATGGACATCTTGGGTGCTTCCTGGGGCCGTCTTGGAGGACTCCTGGAGGCCTCCTGGGCTGTCTGGCAGCCCCTTGGAGGCGCCAGGGCGGGGGTATCAAAAAAAAAGACCCGATGGTTTTGAGGTGGGCGGGCCCCCCTGGCTGGGGACCTGGTATTCGCCCATATGTATATATATATACACACATATATATTGATATATACATATACCTAGATAGATGTATCGCCGTCAAGCTGCTTCCACCTTGTCTGTGGTATGCCTTGACTTTGTCTTCTGGATGTGTCGCCTGACTTGTCGGTAGCCTGCATGTAACATCAACTCCTCGTACTACCGCTTGCTACCCACTCTCATTCATTGTGCATTCAAGACGCTTCGGTTTGTATGTGCCTTGTCTTTCGCTTGTCTGGAACGCTTGCTATTATATGGTGCTAGAAATTCAATATGAAATTCGAGCACCGACGCCGCTTAATAGAAACGAGGCTCCTGGTTGGTTGTGCTGGGATCATGCCGTGTTTGTCGCCAACAGGAACAATTTGAAAACGTGTTTGAAGCAGCTTGCACAGGTGATACAACCAAGCATGGACACTCCAACATCAAACTGAACCTGCAAACCCGCACACACAAACACACGCGGACACTCAACGATTGCTGGGCAAAAACAAATCACACCGAGCAACTTGGATATCGGGCTCTGCGCCTTCACGAGAGACTTCAACGAACACCTCGCGCCGGGAAGCTCTCTCTCTCTCACCCTCCCATGTTTGTTCTCTCTCTCTCTCGCTCTCTGTCTCTCTCTCTCTCTCTTGCTCTCTCTCTCTCTCTCACCCTCCCTTTTTTGTTCTCTCCATTTTTCTCTCTCTCTCTCTCTCTCTCGCTGTTCTCTCTCCCGCTCTCTCCCTCTCTCTGGGACTTCACGGCGGACTGACCCCTGGCCCAAAGACGAATCTCACCCCCCAGCGGGCACACATTAGCCGCACGCATGCGTAAGCCGGGAGCTGGACACACGATCGGCCTCCGTCCTCTTCACGCGCTGAAGAAATACTTGCACGTATTGGGACCCCTCGCATAAAATAGTCACAGTGCGGGCGCGGCCGCAAGAAGCCTTCGCAAGAAACCCAACCCTGAAAAACCCCGCGCGAGGCGAAACCCGGAGCATCCTGAACGCAGCAGCTTCTTCAACGGCTGCGGGAAGTCACCGCGCAGAGCGCGGAGCGAAGAAACCCAGGGCACCTTGACGAAAAACATATGGTTTCTTGATGCACGCCCCCACTTTACGTCGGGGAACTGTGTGGATCTGCCGACCCCGCTTGCAGGGAGTGCAGAGGCTTTTGAGAGCTTGGCCGTCCCCCTCTCCCTTTCCCCCTCCCCTGGGGCCCAGCATGCAGTTGACGGGGGGTGGGAGCTCGTCAAAGCACCCCTGGGTCCTCTAGAGCCTCCAAGAAGCCCCAAGAAGGTCCAGACAGGGCGCAAAGACAGTCGAAGAGTGCGTTCAGACGACCCCAGTTGACTTCAAGACGGCCCACAAGGCCCTCAAGTCAGCGCACAAGTTTTCCTAGACGACCGCCGAATAGGCCCCAAGAGGCAAGCTTCGTTCCCTTTTCCCCGAGGGGAACTTGCATTTTTTTCGTCACTCACAGTTTGTCGTATTGACATCTTCTAAGACTGGACGAAGGGACGCCATATATAGGGCCATGAGACGGCCCCAGGGCCCCCCAAGACGCCCCCAAGAGAGCCACACAAGGGACCCAAGAGAGTCCAAGAGGAGGAATCTCAAAGTATAGGTCGAGCCTTTTCCGCCCGAAGCGCTCCCAAGAGACTCCAAGACGCCCCCAAGAAGCCCGCAAAAAGCTTCCCAGGAGCACCCAAAAGACTCCCAAGAGGCCCCTCGAGAGGCATCCCAAGACACCCTCAGATTCATCGATGAGGCTCCTGAACCACAGCCCAGTCACGGCGGCGGGTTGGGCCGAAGTCTACTAGTTCCGCCGCCCCCTGTGGCCTTGCCATAGGGGTGCACGACGTGCCATGCTTGTGGGCGGTTGTTGGCTCTGTTCTACAAGACTCCCCCTGGGGCTTGGACCTAACCCGCCAGCCACATGGAAAACGTTTCCAAACGCATCCCCCATCGTCTTTTCTAATGAAGGTAGCCTCCGTGACGGCCAAGATGGCCTCCGAGACGGTCAAGGTGGCCTCCCAGACGGCCAAGGTGCCCCCAAGAGAGCCCAATATAATCCCACGGTGGCCTCCAAAATGGTCCCACGATGCATCAAAGACCGCCCAGGTCGTCCCGCCAAAGACGGCCCAAGAGGCCCACCAAAAGGTCCTCCAGGAAGGCCCACATAGGCCAAACTTACAGAGTATCCAAAAGCTGCCAGCTTCAAAATGGCCTTCCGACGGCCCAATAGGTCCTATAGGCTGCCGAGATCGCTCTAGAGGCATCCACGATGGCCCACGACGGCCAGAGAGGGTCCCAAGACGCCCAAGACGGCCTCCCAGACGGCCAAGATGGCCCCAAGAGAGCTCAATATGGCGCACAAATGTCTTTCAGACGGCCCACGATTCATCCAAGACGGCCTAACATGGCCTCAGGATGGCCCAAGAGACAGGCCCCAAGATGTCCCCGAGAAGGCCCATGAGACCTCCGAGAGGCCATAGAGACAGGCCCATTGATGTCCCTTACATCGTTGAATGATGGTCGCGTGTTTTCCTTTTCGGCCGTCCGAAGGCCCAGGACGGCCCAACAGACACCAACAACAAAACACAAGATCGCCCAGAAAACTGCCACGATGGCCCGATGACGGCCGAAGAGGCCCTCAACACGGCCCCAAGAGGGCACAAAGACGGCCCAAGAGGCCAATCAGACGCCAAAGATAGCCTCCAAGACGGCGAAGAAGGCTCCAAAACGGTCAAGAGAACCCAAGATGGCCTCCAAAGTTTCCAAGACGTCTCCAAGACGGCAAAGCTGGGCCCACGACCTCCCTAGATGTCCCCCAGACGGGCCAAGGCACCGAAGACGCCCTTAGAGGGCTCCAAGAGGACCAGGAGGCCAGGATCATTGATTGTCCTTCGGTCTTTCAATGATTTTAGCTTTCTCGCCCGTCCTGGGTGCCCACGCTCCCACACGGGCCGATAAGCCCCCAAGGCCGCCCCACGCCGACTCAGGAGGCCCCCGAAAAGCCTGCAAGACGGCCCCAATACAACCAAAAAGGCCCCCAAAGACGCCCCCGGGACGAACCCACAAATCTCCAATACGCCTCTCAAACGCCCAGAAAGGGACTCACAACTGCCCGGAGAGGCCCAAGACGACCCTCTGAAGGCCAGGAGCCCCCAAGAGGCTCCAAAGAGGACCCCAAGAGGTCCCCAAGGTCCTCCGACACGAGGCCCCAGAAGGCCCCGAACCACCCAAGGCTCCAAAGAAGGCCCGAGAAGAACCAAAGGCCTCAAAAAATCTCCGTTTCTTTCTCCTCCGTTTTTTCCAGCTTCTCCTCTTCCGTTCTCGTCCTTTTCCCCAGTGCTCCCCTAAAAAGTTTTCCACACGGCTGGGGGAAACATGAAACATGATTCGGCCCACTCAGCAACTATATCTGTAATGAATGAAGTCAAGGCCTCGAGTTCATTGAGCAGGGCCTATCGCAGCTCGCGTGAGGTCTGAGCAGACGCGAGCTGAGGCTGAAAGCCACCCATTCAAAAGGGTTGGCGGCATGCGGTCTCAAGGTGGGGCTAGGAAAAACACGTGTAGACAGCGAGCCGTTTACAGTGTCGTTGAATTGCCCGCGCACCCTTGACAATTTTCACCCAGCAAAGCGATCTGTAGAAAAGTCACGGCCTCGATTGCAGTTGCCCGGGACCTTCGCCAAGTAGCCGTCCGCGTGATGTTTAGACAGACGCGAGCTGAGGCTGACAACCACCCAGAATCACAGAACAAGTCTCCGAGATTGCATATGAGCGTGTTTTTTTTTGGCGTTTCGACATTGGACGGAAAGGGGGGGGGGAGGGTGAAGGTCTGGCCCCCTACGTCTGCTTAGTGCGACCATTTGGGGCCGTGCGTCCCATGGGGAAGCTCCACCTGCTCGACGCAGGCCCTAAAAAATAGCCAAGATCCACTCCAGGGAAGGGGGGGCGGGGGTATGCGAGGGCCCGCGCCAATCGGCAAAACGGGGAATATCAAAAACGAGGACGAAACATGTTTGCGAGTGGTGTGCAGAGCGGGCGAGCACAGGGCCGGACAGCCTCGAGTCCAGACGCGGCCGTGGGACCTTCGGACACTCCGCGGGGATCGATCGTCTCACTGCAAACAAATCCCACGGCCAGAGCATCTCCGCTCGAGCCTGCCACCTCTCTTCCCACAACTGCACACGAGGGTGCGCGGGGCCGTTCGCCGCGCTGTCCCTGTCCCCCGTTGGCATAAGCACGACTTTGCGTCGCTCAACTCTTCTGGGGGATGGGAAAAGCCGGAGCATGGTGGTCTGAGGGTTCTCTGCGACACAGGCCCATATATCTCCGTATTCCAGCATGTAGTCGACCCCTGCCGCGATGAGCTGGTGGCCCTCTTCGAACTCGCGACCGAAGAGGGGGCCACTTTTCCCGGCCGCGGATGAACTGGACAGACTGCGAGTGCGTATCAGTGGTCGCGGGTTTGTCTGCCTTTATATATAAATATAAGAACAACTGAATATAAATGTGATTGCATATTTACATACATACATACGTGCATGCAACCATACATGCATACATACACACATACATACATACATACATGTGCAGGTATGTATACGTGTGTGTGTGTGTGCGCGTGGAATAAAATCCGCGATGCGCGGCTGGGGTTCACTCCTTTCTCGGGCTCCTCATGCGCTTCTCGGCGCGACCCTGCTTGGACGTGGCCCTCAAACCCGCAGTTCGCTCCAAGACCCGCTCCTCGGCGCTGGCCCGCACGGCAGCTGCCCGAGCAGGTCGGGGGGCCGGGGCCCGGCCAGCCTGCGCTGGCATCGGGGCCATCGCCAGCGTGCGAAGCCCGAGCAGCCTCCTCTTGGAGTAAGATGCACAGGGCGACATCCATCCGTTGCGGCTCCCAGCGACAACGGGGGCGAAGAAGCGCGCCTCTGCAGGCGCTTGTTGACCGCTGAGCCCCAGACGCGAGTCACCTACCCCCCCGATCTGACGGGCAACCAAGCCATGAGGGTCGAGAGCAGAGAGCAGGGGCCTCTTCAACACGAAGGCGAACGCCACTTGGCCCGCCAACTCCACCATGCCATCTGGGCCGGGGCGCCCAGGGGCCAGCGCCCAGGTGAGACAGCGACCCAGGTTCCAGCGGCGGGCCTCGCGCGCGCGCGTCGCCGCAGTCGAACCGTCCAACAGAATCCCCAGTCTCGCGCTCCTGGAGTCGGCCGTCTCGTCGCCGCGCGCGCCCAAGTCCGCCGCGTTCTGCCGCTCCGGCGCCCGCTCCATCAGCCGCTGCGCCCACTGCCGGCCCCCGCGCGGCATCCCTGGATGGAGTGGGCGCCGCCTTCGACGTCAGCAGCGCGCGCCCCACCCCGCTATTCTGAGGGCGCGATTGCGGGGGCGGGCCAGGCGCTCAGGGCGAGCCCCCCGTTCGCCATCTGAACAGAACATGGGCTCCACATGCCCAGTGGGGGCGCAGCGGAACGAGGATGAAGCCAATCACCAGGCTGTCGAGGAGGGCCTTCCAGCGCCACCCCTGCGAGGCCCGCGTCGCAGGCCCTGAGAGAAAGGGGCCCGGTGCAGAGGCACAGGCCCGGGCCGACCATGAAACCGCAGCGGCGGCCCTGAACATCAGGCGAGGCGGCGCGCGGCGCGAGGTCGCGACCCCGCCCCGAGCTCGCAGGGGGGCTCGCAGGTGGCGAGGCCGACGGGGGGCGGGCCGCGACGGCGGCAAGTGGCGCGCCGGGCGTCGACGGCGCAGCGCCCGCGCCCGCCCTTCGCGCTAACGAGAAAGATGGCGGCCAACTCCCCGGCGCACCGCCGCCGCCGCGCCGCGCCCTCTCGACGGGCCGTCTTGCGACGGGGGCGCGCGAGCTTATCGGGCCTCGGACAGACATCCAGGCATGGCGCGGCGGGGCCGCCATTGTCCCCCGCGCGCCCACGCCCCGCATCTGGTCTACAGATTCGGTCTTCGAGTAGAACCAGCGAAGCTCGGTCGCGGCAATCTAGCGCGTGCATCGCCATATTGGCAAATCCTCGCAGCAGCGGCAGAGGCTAGTGGGGCGCGCTCTCCCCCGCCGCTTCCCCAGCAAGTCCAGGGCCCGAGACTAGGCGTCGGCGGCGGCCCCCGTGGAGGCGCCCTCGCGCCCGGCGAGTCAACGCGCGAATTGCCCGGCGCGAATCGCAAGAAGAGCAGCGCGCCGATCTCGCCCGGCGCGCTGTCGAATGCCCGCGCGGTGATTCCCCCCGAGCCAACGCGGGCGCGTCGGCTGAAGGCAGCGGGGGAAAGCCCCAGCATTCCTCGCGACATCTCGAAAAATCTTGGACGAGACGGCCCGCCCAAAAGACTCGCTTTCGAATCGCCCCGCCGCGGTCGCAAGGCCCCCGGCGGCCTCCGGGGACTTCGGCGGCAGACCGACGGGCCCGCGCTCCCCCAGCCTTTCTGCCGAGCCATCTCGATCTCGGCCTGGCCCCCGGCCCTCGTCGCGATGCGCGCGGAAAAGGGGCGTCGCGATGCCTGGGGTCCTCTGCTGCGCCCGCATCCAGTAGTCGAAATCCTCGAACTTCGGGTCGCCGCGGCCCCTGGAACTGACATCGAACAACAGCTGCCGACGCGGAGAGAGGGCTTCAAGACAGGACGAAGATAGGGGACTAAGTGGATCCTACCACCAAGCAGATTCGAATGCGCGGCAGATCGCTTGCGAATCGTTTGCGGTCCCATTCGTCGCTGCTGCGGGCTCTGCTAGATGTCGATGGCGCCTCTGCATCGGGGAATCTCCAGCGCGCCCGACATGTCTGAACAACCCTCCAGGCCTCGATGGGCAGCGCCCCGGCGCCGTGGTCGCAACCTATCGCACTGCTAATCGTGCAGGACAGGCAGCGCGCGGATGTCGTCATCGTTCCCAATGGCGGCAGTCAACTTGGCAGCGCAAGCGGCGTCGCCACGATGGGTCGGAGCACCTCCAGTCTACCCCCCCGCCATTGAAGCGGGCGGGGCTCGGCGTAGCCGGGGGCGCTAGCGGCGCGAAGCTTCTCTGCGACATGCGCCGCCCCAGCGCCGCCCGACGCAGGGGTGTAGTCGGCCCCCCCCTCACTGCGCTCCGCCGCCAACTTGCCGCCCGCCGCGTGCTCGCCGGAGCGTCGCCTCCCCAATCCTGCAAGATCGGCGCCGTCGAGAACTCCGAGATATCCCCATCCTCATCGCCGCGAAGCCTGATCGCCCCCGCGTGGACGTCTCGACAACCTTGCGCCGTCCTGTCCCTCCTCGGATCGGCAGAGAGGGTGGATCAGTCGCACTGGAGACGCCCAATCTTTGCCTCCTCCACGTCATCCCCCTCCGCAGCATCAGCATGCATGATTGCTGCCGTCGGGTGTCGCGCGCGCCCGCCTTTCAGCGGAGGGTGGCCAGAAAAAAGACGCGCTCGTGCGACGCGTCCTCGTGGCACTTGAACAAACGCCTCGTCCCTGGCCGCAGGGAGTTCCGCCGCGCCACGGACAAGGCCCTCTGCGCGCGCGGGGCGACAATCTCGACCTCCACGGGCCACAGCCCACTGCGCGATTGGCGTCGACAGACAGACGGCCCGCGCCCGCGCTGCACCCGCCTCCCAGGGCAGGGCGAACGGCGCCTCGTCTGGCGGGCGGGCAAGGGAACTGCCGCGGGCAACGCCGAATCAAAGGATCCCCGCGCAGTAGAGGTCGGGGCGCGCCACGCCGGCGGGCACCACCTCGGGGCAAGGAACGTCTGGGACCGCCGCAACTTCCGCGCGCTCGAGGTCGGGGCGCGGTGGGCACGATGGCGGCTTCGGGCAGGCCGCCTGAGCAGCCATCGATGAGGAGTGAGCTGTGTCCGATAGCTCGTAGCAGCTCCTGGAAGACCACGCTCCCGATCCCATGGAACATGCACGCTCTGTCGACATGCTTGTGCTTAGGGTGAAGCTACGAGAGACACATCTGTACGCCGCACCGTTCACATTGCCATTGAAGGCGCCCGCGCAGCCAGTCCAATAGCTTGGCAGGACTTCGGCCCAGCGTTTGGCCGTATGGGCGCTTCCGAAAGGCAGAGGGGCGGCAGTGATTTGCCGTAGGCACTTCCGATAACTTCCACGATCGCCGCCAGCCCTGACGGTCGGTGGGGAGCGCCCCATTGCGCGCGCCAGGCACGGTCTGCAGCCCCCCCCCCTCCCGGCGGGGTCTGCGCAGAACTCTCTCTACGACCCGCCACTTGCCAGTGTAATGTTTTGTGGCGGCGTTTCCTGACACGTATCGTTCGTCCGCCTCGGACCTGCATCGCGACACACCCACCCAGACCTCCGACACGGTGCTTTAGTCAACACTGGTCCCCTGGAGCCCCCTTTTGCCCCTGCGTGGGCTCGCTTCCCCGTACCGGGTGGTTTTCTGAGGACCTCGGCGCCGAACCATGAGATGGCGGAGCTCCCTGTCTGGGTCGGGGACGTCCAGCTGGCTTTGCCTCCACGGTCGTGCCACTGCCGATCCAGGAGTGCCTCGCGCTTGTCCCGTCGCGCGCCAAGGCGACTGGCACGTCCCGGCCAAGGCGACTGTGGCCTGCTGGACCACTTTTTGGAGGATGTCGCCCCAAATCTTCCAAAAACCTTCCCCAGGAAGGTTCTTGCAGAGAGGCCAGGATGTCACCAAAAAGGCAACAAACGAGCACCAAGAGGTACGGTAACAGCGACGAAGCAACAAGAACGATGTCGAGCGCCGCGTCATGATTCGGACAAGCCTCGTGAAATGCAGTCCTGGAGGCGCAATAGTTTACATAGGGGTTTGCGGATGTGGCGTAAACCTATAGAATCTTCCAAAAACCTTCCCCAGGAAGGTTTTTGGAAGGTCTTTGGAGGACTCCTCCCAAAACCTTCCAAACACCTCCATCGCGCAAGGGGCGTTCACGGTGAGCTTCTGGACGCTCCCTGGGGGAGCGCCCGTTCCACGTCGGGATCAGCACATCTCCGGGACGCCATGCGCCCCTAGTCTTAGGTCGGGCATGTCCTCCTACAGCGGAGCTTGAAGGATAGATAAGAATAATCCCAAAATGCTCCAACATAACCGAAACTATTAACAACAAACCGTCCCTGATTATTTGTGGACTATGTTTGAATATTCCTTCTGTCGAGGGACGCGCCCGACTTAACCCTAGTACTCGCCCTCCTCTTCGAAGTCGTATGGCTTTCGGGCCACAACTTTGGCCTCCAGCGGCCCTTCGGGACGATCCGGGCACCCCCTGAGGGGCCCTCCGCGGGGCGAGGCTGCTGGAGAGAGCATGCCGAGGCGAGAGCGCCCCCAAGAACCAGCCATGACTTCCTGCCCCTCGTTGCGAGCGTTTCCTTCCTCGGCGTTTCGACATTTGGCGGGAAAAGGGGGGGCTCTGGCTCCGAACCTCTGCTTAGCGCGACTGTTTGAACAGTGCGTCCAGTGTGGGGGAGACCCCACCTGCTCGAAACAGGCGCCCGAAACAGCCAAGATCTACTCCATGGGGGGGCGGGGGGAGGGGGGGTACGAGGTCCCGCGCCGATCGGCAAAACAATGAATAAGAACACGACCACATTCCGTTCGGGGATCTTCTGGCCCCGGTCAATCCAGACCCGTGTCCACCAAGCCTTGCAGAATCCTTCAGGATCCTGCAAGTTCCTGCGCACCCAAGCCCGGGTTCGCGCGAAGGAGCCTGCCAGACCCTGCAGGAGCCTGCGCCCACGCCCAGGTCCGTGCCGTCGTGGCTCTGCAGGATCCTGCAAGATCGGGCGCTCTGGCGGACCCCCGCTTGTATGGACCCCCGTCTCGAGGCCCCCGAGTGCCCGCACCAGACGATGTGCCTGTGTTCCACCACCACCGCCAGAAGTTGGAGGGGAAGGGGGGCGTTCTCCTCCTCCTCCTCCTCCTCCTCCTCCGCCTCCTTTTCCCCCTCCAACTTATGGTGGTGGTGGTGGTGGTGGTGGAAAACAGGCCCATCACCAGAGGTCCCTCCAGCGAAAAGGCACGCTCACGCGCAGCCGAGCGCAGCCAGAAGGGAGTCCCGGGGCCCCGGCCTCGGAGGCAAAGCGTGACGACAACGAAGTCTGAAGCCAACATCGACATCGACATCGGCATTGACCCAGAGGAGGAGGAGGATGATGATGAGGAGGAGGAGGAGGAGCAGGAGGAGGAGGAGGCGGAGGAGGAGGAACGATGAGGACGAGGAGAGAGGATGAGGATGAGGAGAGGATGAGGATGGGAGGAGGAGGAGGAGGAGGAGGAAAAGAGGGAGGAGGAGGAGGAGGAGGAGGAGGAGGAGGAGAAGGAAGCGCTCTTGTCCCGACGTTCGCCGCCCCCGAGGCAGGCCCCCGGCCTCTTCTGCACGCTCACCGGCGGGCAGGAACCCCAGCCGAAGTCGAAGGGCGACCTGGCGGCGCAGCGAGGCGGGGCGGGGGAGGCGGGGAGGCTCGCTGCTGCTGGTGCGGATCGTCCCTCCCTCCCTCGATCCCCCTATTCCTCCCTCTCTCCTTCTTCTCGTCCTCTCCTCCTCCTCCTCCTCCCTCCTCCCTCCTCCTCCTCCTCCTCCCCCACTCTTCTCCTCCCCTCTTCTCTCCCCCCTCTTCTCCTCCCCCCCCCCCTTCCTCCTCCTCCTCCCTCTTCCTCCTCCTCCTCCTCCTCCTCCTCCTCCTCCTCCTCTCCTCCTTCCCCTCCTCCTCGTTCCTCCTCCTCCTCCTCCTCCTCCACTTCCCTCCTCCTCCTCTTCCCTCCTCCTCCTCCTCTCCTCTGTCCTTCCCAATTCTCCCTCATCCTCCTCCCCCCACCCCTTCTCCGCCGCTTGGGCAACGTCTCCGTGCCGCACCCGTGAACGTGCCGGTAGGGCGGACTGGGCGTGTCCGCTGAGACTTCCACACCGCTCAGCAACAAAGTTCACTGATAAGGGGCGGGCCAGTCTCAAGATGTGGTTCCCGCCTGGTCGTCGAGCAAGCAGTCGGGCTGCCGAAAGAAGGAACGCTTAATCAGGAACGAAGCCCCTTCTTGGCCCTGTGAGCGCCTCCGTGCCCCAGGAGGGAAAGAGGAGCAGCACCGGAGGAACCTGAGGAATATCGACCCCCTTCCGAACCCAAACTGTTCCTTATTTCAGCGTCTTGACTGTATTATTTTTAGCAGTTGGCAGCAATCGATTAACGGATGGAGGGCGGGACGTCTTCAAATTGAGGCTCTCGCGCGCTAGCGCCGCGCATGTGTCTCACAAATTAGCGGCAACTTCACCGATGGAGGGTAGGCCGTTTTGAACATGTGGCCCTCGCCTTACCACATTCGTTTTGAAAGTCTGTGACAATTCAAGGGTTCGACTGGTTGAAGTCCCTGGAACGGCGTCCTAGTACGATTTAGGCATGGCAGGACGCCGCAGTCACGTTGACTCGCGGTGCTGAGGACCCAGGAACGGAGTTCTGATACGATTCATGATTGCCAGGGCGCATCTGTTACGTTGGTCAGCGGCGCTGAAGTCCCAGGAACGTGTTTTGACACGATTGGGGATTCTCCGACGGTTGTCTTCCAACGGGGCACTCCCCGCAATGGAAATGCATTCCTGTAGAGCTAGAGACCCACGGAGAGAGAACTTGGATGGGAGGAGTATTGCGACATTAACGCGTCCTGGGTTTGCACAAGTCATCCTTCCTCGCTCCTCCTCCTCCTCCTCCTCCTCCTCCTCTTCCTCCTCCCCCTTCCCTCCTCCTCATCCTCCTCCTCCTCCTCCTCTTACGTCATCCTCCGCATCCTCACTTCTCCTCCACATGCTCTTTCTCTCTGTCTTTCACTCCATCCTGTCGCGTCCTGCTCCTCGTCCTCCTCCTCCTCCCGCACCCTTTCCCACTCCCCGTCTCCCTCCCTCCAATCCTCCAGCGTCGTGCTCATGCAAGGCCAGCCTGAATCCTCATCCTTTCTCATCCTCCTTCTCGCTCGCTGGCTGGAGGGGAAAATTAGGTTGGAGGAGATTCGGGGAGGCGGGTTATGCAACCAGGATGGCAATACTGAAAGCATTTTGGAGGAGCCCGCCCTTGCCCACCCTCGTTTTGCTGCTGGTGCCCCTCACACACCTCAACAACAGCCTCGCTACCTGATGCACTCCATCCAGAGCTTTCGCATCCCCCAAACGTGCTACTCCTCCTTCTGATCCGCGGCCGCCTCCCCCCCCAATATCCAAATATGTCTTCTCATTATTCCTGTCGCTGTGCTGCGCTCATCGTCGTCGCCCTCTTCCCCCTTGCTTCATCGAACACCTCGCCCCTACCCGCCGCTCCTCTCCTCCCTCATCATCCTCCTCTTCGCCCGGCCCCCGTCACTTCTCACCATCCCCTGTTCCAATGATTATCCCTCCCGCCATCCCCTCTGCCGTCCGCCCCCACCTCTTCCTCGTCCCTCCCTCCCCTTCCCTCTCACTTCACACCCCGCTTCGCTCCTCGAGCGTAGTCAAGAAAGCAACTCACAATCTGTTCCAACACTCCTTTTACCCACGCCGATCGACTGACCTGTCAACATGCAACAAGCTGCAAGACAATACACCAAACTACATGACACCCCCAAAGGACACGTGAACTCCGACCCCGCTTCCGAGAAGTGCTGCAAAACCGCGCCATTGGTCATCCTCCTGTTTTGCCAACGTGCTTGTCCGTCCGATTTATCTGTGGGTGGCTGATGGACGCTCCCCTGCTACCACGGGGAACCGCACAGCAAAGTGGATGCAAACCCCGAGGCGGCAATACCCACACACGCAAGGGAGAAGGAGGGTGCGCGGCCCGCCTTGGGACGAGCACCATCAGCTCGAACATAGTGCTAAGCAGGGAGGCGGAGAGGTCCTAGAGCCGAATACATTTCGTTGAAAAGCTAGTCCGTTGCGCTGCGCTACGAGGAACGTGCTGAATGCCTTGTGCTGATAGGAGCTGCGCAACGGTGTATACAAGTAGGGGCCATGCGCGTGAACATGTCTGCTTACCCGCGAAAAAAAATCGTTCACAACTTCACAACCATCACAACAACAACCACCGAGTGAAGAACAGTGTCGCTGGTGACAACGACAAGGGGAGTCGATCGGGGACCCTACCGCAGGACAACCCTCGCCCTTCCCTTCCTGGTGAGACGACGGCGTCAGCTCGGAGCGCAGCCGGGAGCGGGGCCCAGCGCAGATCCAAGAAATCCGCGCGGAGCTCCGAGAGGTGTTCTGGATGCTCTTGCTTCTTCTCCGAAACGAGGAAGGCGACGAAGAGGTTGACCGCACGCAAGTCTGAAACTCGACAGTTCTCGCTCCCCGATCCTCTCCGCCTCTTCTGAAAGGGGCCCTGGGACACACAAGTTAACAGACACAAATCCCAGGATTCCCTGTATTTTCATATATTTTCTGGGTTGTCGTCTTCCCCCCCTCCCCTCTTCCCATATTTTTTCTATATTTTCCTGGGACTCGACGATTCGTTGTGCCTGCGTGCTTTTTCCCCGGAGAAGGAAAGAGGAGGAGGAGGAGAAGGAGGAGGAGGAGGAGGAGGAGGAGGAGAGGGAGGAGGAGGAGAGGAAGGAGGAGTTTGTTACAATGCCCGTGAGGGAAGAACGTGTTGAATATGAAGGTCGAGGAACGGTTGCTTCAGAGGCCAGCGGCCCAGTCCTCGACCCCCACACTCAGCCGTGGAGGAAAGCAGCAGCCTCCTCTTCCGCCTCGAGGAGGAGGAGGAGAAGGAGGAGGAGGAGGAGGAGGAAAGGGAAGAGGAGGATGAGAGGGAGAAGGAGGATGATGATGAGGAGGAGGAGGAGGATGAGGAGGAGGAAGAGGAGAAGGAGGAGGAGGGGGAGGAGGACTTTTGCCGCCCCGCCCCCGCCATGCACACCTCCGCGGCGGGCCCTGCCTTGACGGCACGGGCCCCCGCCTCCTGCCGCGCACGGACCCTGGAGCACCGAGGGCTGCACAGCGGACTTCTCAATCGGGGATGGACATTGAATTCCAACGTGGGTCTGTTACTATAGAGAGGGTCATGCAACAAACATTGAAACACATATTATGACGATATGTGCAAATGCGGTCTGGCAAATCGGGGCGGCATCGACGCGACGCCAAGGGGCGTCGTGGACTCGAAACTTCGGCCTGGGAGCACGAGGCGCACGATTACCCATATCATGAATCTCTGCAACCGGTCGCAGTGTTTGAAGGGGCCCCAGGACACACAAATAAATATACACAAATAAAAATATTCCCCATATTTTCGCATATTTTCTGGGTTTCTGTCTTCCCCCCCACTTCCCATATTTTCCCATATTTTCTGGGGGATCGACGATTAATTGTGTCTGTGTGTTTCTTTCCCTCCTGAGTGTTGTGGGGGGTGCACGGACACGCAAAACACTGTTCAACTAAGCGTTTGCGGGCGCCGGCCTCGACCTCTTGCCCCATCCCCCGCCTCCTCCCAATATCCCTTCGCTGTGGCCCCACCCTCCTCATACCCCTCCGACTACCCCCAGTCCTCGTCAGGCCCCTCGCCCACACTGTCACCCCCCCATGTGCCAATTCACGTCGTTCCTCGTCGTCCTCCCCCGCCGGATGAATTCCCCCATCGTCCGCGTGCTTGCCCTCCTCCCATCCTCCACGCCATAATGCAGATCATGCCCCCTCCTTCTGCCCCCCCCCGCCTGCCTCGTCCTCGTGATGCTGACACCGATGATGCAGCTCCTCCTGGGCCCACTTCCTCCCGTCTCGTCGAATCCCGTTCATCCCCGGCCCCTTGGCCACCCCTCCTATCGAGCCTCTTCATTCCCACCGCCCACCATCCCCACCCCCCCCCCGCGCCTTGGCACTCCCAGACCACGGCCTTCTGCTGGACCAGCCGGGCGACCCGCGGAAACTCTCGCCCAGTGACCACCCACGCGAGCGGCGCGCAACAAATGCACAGTTCGAGACACGAACTGTGTATTTCGACCGCGCACGACGCCCCCCCTGGACCAGCCGAGCGAGAAACGTGAAAGTTCCCGCCCAATCAACACCACCCGCGAAGGGCACACCCCAAATACACAGATGGGAACCAGATCTGTGTACACAGATCACACCACGATCTGTGTAGACAGTGGGGCCGCACACGAAAATACACAGTTGAAGACACAAACTGTGTACACAGTCGCACCTTGATCTGTGTATTTCGAAAATGTGAACGCTCGCCACCTCGAGGGCGCCCCGACTTTGCCAACCCCCAGAACCGAGGTCGACATGCCCAGCCAGGGGGGAATGCAAATACACACTTCCGCGGCCCAGGGCGCCCCCGAAGGAGCTGCAAATACACGCTTCCCTGGCCCAGGGAAGCCACGGCGAAACGCGGCACCAAAGCGGCCCCCAACGGCCCGAAGACGCCCCAAATAGCCTCGCAAAGAAGGCCGCGCAGCAATCCGAGAACACGAGAGGTGTCACATGTCATGGACCTCTTAATAGTCATCTCCACGCGTCGCCATACAGACCACTGCACTGGCAAGGGGGCGGACCTTGCCGCAGGCACCCATACATTTACAGGTTAACGATGCGACTGCGCTCGGCGGCCGTGTCACCCGCGTTTGGAGCGCGCCCCGAACGCTCGCATTGGCAATCCCCTCTGTTTGGTTGCGCCGCTTGGCTCGGATATCGAAAAGGCGATATACTGCTGACGCGGCCACGCGGCACCAGGGATTTCACTTTTCGAATATGGAGGGAAGACGAGGTCGGACGACGGACGGTGGAGCAGGGAGGCAAAAAGGAACGAGGAATAACGGGGGCGGTGGAAAGGGGCACTCCCCCGCCCGAGCCACGGACGCTTTCGACGTCATCCAAGGGGGGGGGAAAGGAAGGGCAACGGAGCGAGGGCGAGGACGACGACGGGAAGCAAACTGTCATGGGTCCGCATATAGCCATATGCTTGCGATTCGGGTGCGCGCGCTTTCTTCGAGGCGCGTCGAGCCCGACCCACACTGAATTCACTAATTCCTCCAAACTGTGTAAACACCCTGTCCTCTGTACCCCCTCCTATACAACTGCTTCTGAACAGAGGGGCAGTGGATTACAAGATGGACAGACCCCCCTTTTAGCACAACGTGGTTTAGTGAAAACGACCTGACGCCCAAACCTGGCGGGCGCAAGCCTGGAAAATGACGGCCGCGGCGCCCTCTCGAGAACCGAAAACGGACAATTCACTAATCGACGTGTCACTGTTGGGGGTTCTGTCCACCGCCGACTCAACCTTTCAACACTCGGGGGCGCGCAAACAGGGATTAACGATCCATGGATGTTGCGCGCGGTCGCCAAATCCATGGATCGGGGGAAGTGCCCTCACCACAGTGCGGCCGGCGCCGCCTCGCTCGGGGGTGGACATCCGCGATGTCCCATGGAAGCGGGACCCGTCGCTAATCGACGCCCCCTTGATCCATGTTTGCGATCGCCTGAAACACGGACCTTTCAACCTTCCAACGAACGAGCGGCGCAGGGGGACACACGTGAACCTGCGCAGACCCCAACTTTCTCCCTTTTTGCCAACATTTCATGGATGCTATTCTCCCCTTTCATTTTCCATACAGTCGGACTCAGGCCAGAACAAGACAACATCCCTCGAGGACACGAGACTCTCCGGCGGCCAAAACACACGGAGCATCGGAGGGCGCCCTCCCCCAGGGTGCACAGGAACACCCTCCCCGAGCCGGCATCTCGATCCCATGCTTCGGTCCTACCGTATCTTGTATCTTCCCACAGCTGAATGACAATCAGCGTTTCTCGGGGTCCGCCAAAGGGGGGGGGCCCTGAGGGGGGGGGTGAGCTCGATCCGCTGGTGCATCGAACTTCCGAAAAACGATGCCCCCCCCGCGCGGCGCGATTGTCGACGCATCTCGGGTTCCGGCGGCGGCCGGAGACCTCGCTCTGCAGAGTTTGTATTGCGGTTCGATGCGCCCACGGACCGAGCTCCCCCCCCCCTCCCCCCTGTGGCACCCCCCAATTTTGCGAGGTCCCGAATTTAGGAGACCGATTTCTGACCACACCCACTTCCCGAGGTGCCTTGCGAAAAGCGGTTTCCAGAGGTGGAGGTGGGCAGTTTCCCCGCCCCAGGGGAAGGAAAAACGACCCACGTCCACCCCCGAGGGCCTGTCACAGAATCGAGGATCCAAAGGTGGATGTGGTCAGAAATCGGTCTTCGAGAAGTTCCGCTTCTTGCGCAGACCTTGCCTCCCTCGGTAGCGGCAAAGAGGGGGGGGTGCAAATCATGACCGGCGGCATGTGCGCGGCCCAGCGGGGGGGCCAGGGCCGTAATGAAATAAGAGGAGGCGCCATGAAATAAGAGGAAAAATCATGGCCCGCGCCATGACATCCACCCCCCCCCCTGGTCATCACCCCCCTCTTTTCCGGCCCCGACTCCCCGGCGACCTCTGCTGCAGCGGCAACGAGCTCCGCACGGGCCGGGGGACGCCCCCCCCCCTCCCAGCCGCGCCGGGGGCCCCCGCGCCCCCGCAGGCCGAGACGGGGGCCGACGCTCGACGACGCCGACGCCGCCGCCGTCGACGCCGACGCCGCCGTCGGCGACGACGACGACGACGCCGACGACGACGACGGCGACGACGACGACGACGACGACGTCGACGACGACGACGACGACGACGACGACGGCGACGGCGACGGCGGCGGCGGCGGCGGCGCCGTTTGACTGCGGCCGCGTGGCATTCTTGCGGCGTCGCTGGGCCCGCAAAAGAGGGCCCCCCCGCAGCGCCGACGTCCCCGCCGCGTGGGAGCGGCGGGAGCAAGCTCCGCCCGAGATCAGCCCGCAGATCCCCTTCGGCTACACGCAAGAGTGACCCCAGGCGCAAGGGTGACCTCTGG